CTCTTCATTTTCACTTCCGCAACCGCAACTGATTCCAACTGCACATACACACACTGAGCGCCACACACCAAGTGAATTATCTTATAAATGGCAGCACCCGAGTAAAACATTATACGGGATTTCCCAGGCACAAAACGTTGTCATTCACGTAAATAGGCTAGGAAATATGTAATTTAGTTTAATTTCCCTGCAGGTACCCGAGTTTCGACTTCGAAAGCATTACAATAAATCAGTTAGTTTGTATTATTTTGTCTCTGTCCCTCTCCTGCCTCGCTCTCTTGCGTTCTGCAAACAATCTCACATTGTTTCGTCGGCATACAGCACGAAATATGATTATGAATTGACAATTAAATGCACATTTTCGTGTCGATTGAAGAAGAAACTCGGTGCGTTTGCAAAATGACATTAAATGTTCTACCATCATCAAAATGGCCCTTTTGTTTGCGCCATTCAATTTATATTTGTTCAAGCACAAGATCATTTTTGGAAAATTTCAAAAGCAGTTCATCAAGATAATAAAAGAGACCAATTACAGAATCCAGGTCAATTTGAGCGCATGTTACATTTGGAAAATAGAGAGTTGACAATCACAAGTGAAAATTGCTTTTAATGCAAAATCAGCTTTATTATCTAATAGAAATGCCAAACGTTGTGTCAACTATTGTGCCCGGAGTGAAATGGCCATTGAGCGGCAATTGAATTTTCGGAATTTAATGAATTGGATAAAAACCTTAATTAGTGATTTATGAGCTCATCAAATGAATGGAAAGTATCACCACTTTTGAAAGCGAATACGTACAACGAATTCATATATTAGCATGACTCGTTGGAATTTCCTCATATGTGAGGAGACATATACATATATGCTCGACGAACATACTCATCAGAAGCAGTAGCAACACCAACAAAAACGCAGTAACAATTTTAAAAGCTCACTCAATGTTAATTTCGATTAATTGCGATGTGCGCACATTAGCAAAATGCGTACATACACTCACACTCACTCATAATTATCACACATTCCACACGTACAACTGAACCGACAATATAAACGTAACATATGTGGTATGTCGAATGTTGATGCGTGGAGAATCGCAACGTACCGGTCGTGATACCGTTCACTCCATACAATACACTTCTTCATATGTGTGATACAATGTATAAAATTCGGTTAAATTACGGTTGCGAATGGAGCGAATGATAAATAAATGCAACAAACTGAAAAATGCTATTTATTTCTTGTTGTTGCCTCGAAATTGGAAAAAGGGTTCAAGTTTTACACACGTATCAAAGAATCTACATTAGTTTTTGAAGCCCCTAGTACAGCGATTTCCACATGTATGTATGCCTGTATGGTTGAAAACAGGAATTCGATATATTTTTTCTTTCCTTCGAATGTGTGTAACGAAATTGAAATTTTCCCCTGTGTATTTTTGGTTGCGGGTGTAAGGCATACTAAAGCATTGACATTACACGAAATTGGTTGATGGGTAATGATGTTGCTGAAAATGTTAACTTATTGCCTCTTGATTAATTAAATTTGCCATATTAGTTTTTTGCACGAGGAAAACATACTCGTAAACATTATGCCAACACATAGTTGGCTATTTTCAAAAGTGTTAATGCTACAGCCGCCTACACATACTCATTGGATTCTTAGATTACGCACAATTTTATTGAAGTGACGCAATGCGTCAAAATTCACTAAATTGAACCAAACTTTAAATGAATACTAGACTACTTTACGAGGTAATAAATTCGATATGTGACTAACTCTTAGCTCCGGTTTGAATATGCCAATTCGTATGCAAAACCATGATATTAAATGTTTCCTTGATAAGCAAATTTTAACATCGTTTTGTTTATGGCCTTTTCTCGTCCAGCTGTGGACCAATGACGGAATTTAATAAATGCGTGCTGGATATAAACCAAATTTTTTAGTTCAAACCGAAAAACTAATCGAATTTGGATCTCATTTTCTGACATAAGTTCGAAAAAATCGTTGCAATACCGCCATTTCCCAAAGAGAAGCATCTCATTTCATCGATAAGTGAATCCACTTTCAAGCAAAAGCGAAAAATTCAATGAATAATTGGCATCCATTTTTAACGAGATCATTGCTGGTATTTCGTCGTCGTCGTCCGATTGCCATGTTGAATTTATAAGCCATTAAAATGTTGTACGGGCGAAAGAGAAAGAAAAAAACAACTCCAAATAAAAATCTGTATATTATGTGAGAGCACGAAACACACTTGAGTGTTCATAAAATTTCTTATTTAATGGCACTTGACTTTCTCAAGCATTTATTTATTCGAGGCGAATTTCATCTGAATTGCCTACGCAGGGCGATGCAGATAGGACTCGTTAATCGAAAATGAAATACGATAAAAGGAGAAAGAAACGTCCGACCGACCGACCGACCGAAAAAAGGAACGAGATAAAACTGCGGCAAAAGGCACTAAGGTGACGTGCGCGCGCGCGGTCCATCCATGAATGAAACAATTTGAATTTCAAAAGAAAACCAAAGTGGAGTTGGCTCGTTACGCGTTCGTCATCGCAGCCAACGGAAAATGTAATAGATTTATATCGGTCGCGTCCGCCATATTTCTTTCATGGAATTCAACTAAAAGACTTGAGCGCTCGTCGTAAAGTTTGTTTTAATTTGTTCACCTTTTTTTTTATTTCTTTTCACTGTTTCAAAGTTACGATGTCAATTTATATTTATGATGACCTGAAAAATCTATTCAGTTCGCCATACTTATGTGTGTGTGTGTGTGTGTCACAACTTTTAATTAGTTCTCGAACCTATTTTTCGTGGTTCAAAAAAGTCCAATTAAAGCATTTTCATGGAATATTTAATTTTTCAAACAGAAAATTGCACAAAATTAGAGCAATTGAAGGAATTGCTTTTGTTCAATATGAACAAGTTCTATCTACCTTTGGCTAATTTACAAACTGTGTGCGTTCCATTCATAAGACTGTCCCTAGTGCGCCAATTAAAAACGATCAGTTATAGAAGACTATTCATCGAAAGTTCCACCAGAACTTCTGGTCCAGAAGTAGCTCGTGCAGTAAATGAACCGTTGCGACAAACATATTCCCTCAGAATATTTTAGTTTTAAAGTGCAACATAAAGTTTTTTTTTCATATGGAGTTGTTGTTGTAAACTCTATATGAAAAAAAATTCATGTTGCACTTTGAAACTAAAACATTCTGAGGGAATTTGTTTGTCGCAACGGTTCAAATATAAGCTCGAATTCAGTTCAAACATGTGTGTATACCTTGAAGTGTGAATATTGCCGGCATTCATATCAAATTACTCTATTTAGTTTGATTTAAACGTTTTAAATTATACTATTCAATGGTGAGAGAGAAAAAAGTACGCCCCATTTTTTCCCTTTTCATTCAAACACTCTATTAACATCATATTCAATCAATACGGTGATGAAACGAATTGAATAAATATTTTGACAATTTGAAAATAATGATTTTAGTTGCGAGAAATCCCACATGGTAACGGGTTACACTCGGCTCAATTATCATATTTATTGATTTCATTCTTCTTTTTTTTCATCATCATTCGCTCAATTCACAATGATTATTAAACATTCACGAAGAAAAAAACTTTGGACTGTTTCATTCGGTGACAATTGTTACAAAAATTTCATTCCCAGTTTGAACGTCGAAACTGACGCACCAAAAAACTGGTGCCGAAATAAATTGAACACAAATTATACTGTATAATTTTGTTGGTATTGTGTGATAAATTAAACGTTTATTGCTTGATGAGCTACTTTGACGTTTGAATGAGGAAGGAGCTTATAAAAAAAACCAACTCAAACATATGGCAAATGATTTATGATAAATAAGCGAATTAAATGGTGACAAAATATTAAAAAAAACATGGAACAGAAGCACCCATGCATAACCAATGAGCCAATGATGCCATAACGAAGCTTGATTTTCAACTGAAAAAATGAAACAAAAATACGGAAATAATTTGATCGTTCGAATAAACCACAAACCAATTAATGAATACACATTTCTATACAATATGAAACGCCATCATGGCGTCACCATGTCACAATATTTTAATGGATTTTTGTTCCTTGATCAAGCGGATTTTTGGTCAAAATTCCATCAATCAATTCACAGTTTGAACCGAAAATTTATGAAAATGTAATTTTGTGAAGAGGGAATTTAACAAAATGTGTTGAAATGGTGAAGCAACAACATATTTACATGAAATCACATGTTGAAAATGATCTTTTTCTTGTTGAAAAATCAAAATCGAAAAGAATATATAGTCTGAAAAAACGGGCTTTCAATTTCCATCAGTCCAAAAGTCTTTCAAAAGTGTCACAGAAGAGGATATTTTTAGAATATCAAATTGAGTCATCGTCAAAAAAAAACAACCGAAATTAAAAAATACCCAATTTGAGAACGTGAACCATATGGGAGAAAAGCAAATATTTGATTGGCACTGCCTGAGTTTATTGCCAATATTCGTAAATTCGTAATTGTTGGTATGCAATGCTTACACAATTTGTTCCAAAGTATTTTATTTGCGAAGCAAACGAAAGATAGGTATCGATTGATACACTGAAAATAAATGAAATTTTCTTCGATGAAATTCAATAAAATTCGGTGTCTATGCGCTTGTCGTCGTTGATATTTGTCTGCCACACTGTTACGGAAAATGTCTCAGTTGAAAATTGAATTTTGTCAACGCAAATCTTATTTATTATTGAAGCGCGAGACTATTTATCGTCACAGTCAGCAGTTTCCCTACGAATATTGTTGTCGAATAACGATCACGAAATGCTTTTGCAAAATTGGGGTTCGAAATGTGTCTGCATACGCTCGGTTGATGAGGAGATTGGATTTGAAAAATAGAAATGTTAAACCCGAAAAGGAAATAATTGATTTCGCTTAAGAAAGAATCAAATGAATTTTCAACACGTGTTTTTTTTCTCTCTTTTCGGTCTATTTGTCGACAGGTCACAGTCCGTTAGATGGTAAAGATTTCACCGTGGATGGCATCAATGGATTCGGTGGCAAAAAGAAAAAGAAGAAGAGACGTCACAGTCGCACCATATTCACTAGCTATCAATTGGATGAATTAGAAAAAGGTAAGGATGATTCCGATGCATACGTTTCATATTTGATGAACTTTGGTTTTTCTTGATAATTCCTCAGCGTTTAAAGATGCCCATTATCCTGATGTCTATGCCAGAGAAATGCTATCGCTCAAAACTGATTTGCCCGAGGATAGAATACAAGTAAGTGATTTTATATTTTCAGTATGCATTTCATAGAACAAAAAAAAACAACAAGGAAAAAAATCTGTGCTTAAAACAAAGGCAAATTATTACCTCAAAAAGTGAAGCCTTTCATTTCAACTGTCAATTAGTAAATTAAATTATTAAAAAAAATGTAAATAGCAGAGCATCGCATAAAGCACGAGAGAATAAGAAAAAAAAAATCGGTGTGAAGAGCAGTCACAAGAGGTAAAAAAAAGGAGATGAAGAAAAAAAAATACCACGCGATAAAACCCACTTATCTGAGGCTCTTTTTTTTTGTTTGACGAAATGTGCCTTTGATGTGCGCACGAAGAGAAGTTTGCAAGTAATTTAATATTTCTGCACACGCATTCAATTTCGTTTCACATTTCGTCGCCTCCAGTCTACCTATCTCCATCGTTACAAACTAATGGCACAACAAGACGAATAAACTTAAACCATTCCGTCTTTGTCCAATGAAGAATGAAGATGGAATGGTGTTGGTATGTGTGCTTGTGTGTGTGTGCGCGCGCGCGAAAAATTGGTTTATAAAATAATCGTGGCATTTTTTTTATTCGCTTCAAAGAGATTTTTACAAGAGAGCAAAACGAAAAAACAAATCAAGTTGAATAGAATTGAACCAATTTACGTGTGAGCACGCTAAAAATAAATGCCAAGTGCAAATTATGCAGACAATACGCGCACGAACACATACACACCTTCTCACTGCCAAAAGCCTTGGCAATTTGATCAAGGCACAGAATTTTGAATGAATCGAACGCTAAACAAACAGAAGACAAAAAGGATTCCAAGGCGATGAAATGCGGCAAACAAGCTGCCTATTAAACTAAAGAAGGTGTTGAATGTTGGCAAAATAATAATAAAGAAAAAAATGGCTGCCGATTGGAATGGTATGTTTGCGCCGCATCGTTACCCATTGCTTTAGCGTGGGTTTGAAGGGAAAAAAACGATTATCAGCTCGTTGGATTTCATTATTTCTGATGTTTTTTTTCTTCGTTTTCGAATTCTTTTATATTTTGCAAATATTCTTCCTTTGCTTTTTTCCCTTCAAATTAAAAATCTGCTTTATCAGAGCGTTTTCATGAGAAATAATCGGCTAATTCATTTGCCGAAAGAAGAAGAAGAAGAACGCAATTTCCAAACGAATGTAATTTGTTGAGCGTCAAACACAAAAACAAATTTACTCGATGAAAAAAAATGCTATTTATTTCGAAAAGATTTACAGCGTCTTTTGTGCGATGTATATAAGTGGGATGCAGGCGCACGGTGGCTTCCACTTTTGTCAATTTTATAATTCAATTATACAGTTAGCATGGTACTTTGCGATATAACAAGCGCCATTTTCCAATTTCCTTCGCACAAATATATCTCATTATCGTACTTTGTCACTCCTCAGTCTTCTTCGTTGTCGTTGTCGTCGATGGTTCAGCATGACTTCCAATGTGGATTAGAGCGAGTGTACTTCACCGTTACCGAAAAAGAAAACACTTTTTGACGCACACGCTTGCCATCGAATTTAGAGAGAATTTTGGGCGAAACGTTTGCATTCATGATTTATATAAACCTCCCTTCGACGCATACATCGCATGCTGTTCGGCTTGCGATGTGCTTCACCCATGTATACATGTACAAATGGAAACAAGCAAAACTCTGAAATTCGATAACAACTTATTACACACGCACTCACGCAATTTCGGCTCTCGCATTTTTCGAACGCACACACAGAATGGTTATGATACGATTCCCAACCATAAACGATCCATAGCCATGTAGCCATGTAACAACAGCCCGCCTCACTGTGACTCGTGAACTCATTCTATATTTTTTTTGAACCAGCATCGAATAGAAGAGAGAAAAAAAGCGACGAACAAAAACATGCAAATCGATTTACTTCTCAAAAATTCGTTCAAACGTTGTCATAGCTGTAATTGTGTGGCTACTGTTTCAATTTTGAAAGCAAACGAACAACGAGCAACAACAATAACAGACGAAAAAAAAACTCTGTGCAAGCAGCCAGCACATTTTGGTTGGCGACGATGCAAATTGGATAGAAGTCGAGAGTGACAAAAATGTGCTGGTTGCAGGCAAAAATCTCGCAAAGCACATACAACCGCAAAGCAGTTTTTGCCAGTCTAGCCCAATGAAGTATTGATTTTAATTGCAAAATTGTTAATTTGGAAAAACGCACCGAGCAAAAGCATCGAAAGAGAGAGAGAGAGAGAGAAACGAACCGAAATGGGAACCGATCGTCAAGCAAAAGAGGTTCACTTTTTTCCTCGTTTTCCTTTTCGCTTCAATGGTTTCTGTCTGCCAGGCATGCGACTACTGTATCACGATTCAAGCGTGTATGTGTTATTTCCGTTGTGTAGGATCCTTAAATTGGGTTGTCATATACACTTGTAACTGAATGTTCGGTCCAAAAATGAAGCGAAAGTGCTGTTTTGCATACATTAATTTCGCCCTTTTCCTAAACACACTATTCTGGCACAACGAACCGAAAACTCATCCGAGAGCCAGTGCAAGAACGAGAGAGAAAAATGGTGGCACCGAAAAACTTTTGTTCTTTACATCACATTCCATAATAACGGGTCCTGAAAAAAGGTACTTAGCTCAGAGCGACCAATCATAAATTTTAATTTTGTTGGACACAACCAAATTAAGAGCAACGTCAACGAATGACACGCAATGGGTTCACACTTTTTGTGTGGGGGATTTTTGGGCGAACACAAAAATTTCAATCGACCGAGAAAGAAAGAAAAAAACGTGTGTTGAAGGTGAAACACAATGGCATGCACAAATAGGCTCAAACTTGAATTTTAATTGATTCCGAAGTTAATGACTGAAAAATTGCGCTGTCATTTGTTTTTACAGTGAAGAAACTTGATTTGGGGCTGCGAGTGTAATTCTATCGGTTTGAATTGCCTCGCAATATTTGGACGTCTTTTAGTCTACCCAAAAGAAAGAAAAAATTCGATTCGTCGAAGAGAAAACGCCGTTCAAATTGGATCCTAATGGAGACGAAACAAACGGCTTTGTTGAACTGAATAAGCAATATAAAGACGCAAAAATTCGGCACGAAGAGGGAGAGTGAGTGAAAGAGAAGAAAAAAACCCGAAGCGAGTGAAGTGTGCACAAAAAGCTAAGCATCGTCTCCGTTGTTGTTGGCTAACAACACCAATTACTTCATCATTTCCTTTTTTGTTTGTGTTTATGTGTTTCGCTGCTTCTCTTCGGGATGTGAATGTATTGATGTCGCGCGCACAGCGTCTTCTATGTATAATTTATATATTTATTGCATTATTCTATTTCCATCTTGTACATACGCTGGCGTAAATTTCTATTCGTGTGCTAGCTTGTTTGTCGTTGTTCCGTGATGGTGGTTCGTTGCGCACAAAAAGACATGAGATCATTTCGTTTGGGTTTTATTGCCAAGCTCGAAGCAATATTCCGTTGAAGCTTTTGTGAATTGAGAGCTGAGTGCCAATGTGCCAACAAAAATCCAGTGTATGAAATGTGTGTTCGGACGAAATGTCTGCATCAATGCGAAATGCGGGTGAAAATCGAGAGCTCCATGCATACACAACAACCGCCATAAAATATTTTGTTGTTGCTGTTGAACAACACGAAAAAGAGCTCCCTCTCCACCCAGTACAAGCACCAAAATTGAATGCGTTGTTGAAGACTCGCTGCCTTTTGTGTGTATTACAACGGCAACGACAACGACGAAAACGACAGAGCAATGCATGAGCACAATCTCTATCCCCCTTTAATTTGGTACTCTCATCTCCATCTCCATTGAGGTTCGAATTTGCGAATATCGAAAAAGGAAAAACGTTGTCATGGCAATAATAAGGTTGGTCCTGCTACTTAAGTATACAGGCATTTTAAAATTGCTATCATCATTGTCAAGCGGCGAATGTCGTTGTTGTTTAACTGCAACTCCCCTTCTCTGCCTCTTGCCGATACCGCCGCCGTTTCCGTTGCCGTCGCAACACTCATTCAGCAGTCGCTCGGTCGGTACGCATGCATGCAACCGTCATCATCATCATCATCATCATCATCATCATTTCGAAACCGATTGGTGTCGTATTCTGATTGCCACAGAGAATGAGAGTCAAACGAAAATCCGAAAGAGTGTGTTACATTGCTTCGCATTCGCCCGAATCACATTGAACACAAATCACGTGCGCGCATGTCAAAATTTTGCAATTGGATTGAAGAATCGCTTTCAACCAAAAGAAAAATGGCAAATTGGCATATTCCTATGCGTTTTTTTTTCATTCTCTTCGACTAGTTTGCATTCTTCATTGTCTCCTTTGATGGATTTTAATAAGCCATGAGCGGGGAATAAAGACATCTTCACGATGAAAACGAGACGCGCTAGGCGAAATTCATTATCTGTCGTAAAAAAATTCGATCGATTTTCTATAAAACATTTTTATTATGAAAATCTTCGTTATTTTTTGCTCAAAAAGAATTACAACGAAATAAAAAAAAATCTCCAGAGAGAAAGAGACTCACAGACTTTAATCAACTGTGAAAAACGAATAAAACCGTGAAATTTTCATTCACTTGCAAAATGCATTATAAAATGGCATGAAAAATCGGAATCATAACTGCTATTTAACTGATCAATGCCCTTCAATAGCATTTCATTTGGATGTTTGCTCTTAAACAGTGGCAATATTCATAATAATCGCGTCAGTGGCCAGCAAACAAATCTCTTGGATTGTGGTACGTGTGTCTGTATGCACTGTGAACAGTGTCAGGCATTTGAATACCCTAATTTTTATGTTTGGTTGTTAAATGGTTTGTAACTTGTTGGTTTTTTTGTTGTTGCTGTTGTGCGCACCGAAACACGAGCGCATCGATAGAGAGAGTGAAAAAAAACATTGTTATAATCTTATTCGCATTGCGACCCCTCATCGAAATCCATGAGCGCACACACACACACACACGTTATATACATGCTATAACAT